GTTTGTGATATTATTATACTGCAATAAGTTTTTCTTACAATTACTGTAAGTGTGGCTGTTATTCTGCCTCAAGCAGCATAAACCTTTCCTATACCACTGATTTTTCTAAACCTAAAATAAAAATATTTGTATTTGTCTTTGTATTTGAAAAATGCCGATTACATATATTTATATTTGAATTTATATTTGGAATCTAAAATGAACATATTTGTATTTGATCAAATGTATTTGACCCCAAACTCTGATAGGCCTACTATTTTTTTATAAATTATATTTATGTTTAAAAATAAAAAATTGTGCTAATGATGGCTAGCCTCTAGGTGGAGCAGCTAAATGACAGAAGAAGGATTACAAAACGAAAATTAAAAATTAATGTAAAATTGACTCGTTTTTGTTACCTGCACAGAATAAAATAAAAGAAACACAATCTGTTGCAAATGTACATAATTTGGAAAATGAACAGGGGGATACTAGGGAGAGTGACTTTGAAATCAGTAAACTACAAATAAATACAAATTTTCAAGTTAACAGTTTTAAGGACAATAATGTGGCATTCGATTTGTCTGATCATGACCTGCTAGATCTCATTATAATCTTTGAAAACCTTATTGATAGAGGAGGCATGATCCAATTAATATAGTTGATCTAAATATGAAGAAATTTATTGTTACACATGGCTTATGTAGACCAAAGAGACATTTTCGGAGAGACTATAGATGTTTTTTTGTCAATTGCTATAACAAGACAACTAAGTCAGGTTTGACTATACCAGTGACTTTGTTTTTCTATTTTAAAAAACTTAAATGCTGAATATTGTGAAGTTTTGCTGTAATCAAGTCTGTATATTGTGAAGTTTTGCTGTAATCAAGTCTGCATATTGTGAAGTTTTTCTTTAATCATTGTCATTGTTCTACTCAATCATTGCTGGTACTGCTCAAGACATTTTAAAGAAAGACCAATTAAGATTTACTATCTGCTATGCAAAAAAAAAATTAACAATAGTGATGGCGATACAACCGAGATATCAATAACTGAAACTTTCATTGGTTTATTCTGGACGTGTGATCAATGTGCTGCAGGATTGTTTAATCAAATTTGTAAAATTCTGAAATATAATAAGACTAACTTTACAAAAGTGCTGTCTGCAGGGATATGACGGTGCCAGTGTTATGTCAGGTTTTTATAGAGGTGTTCAAAAACGTATTAGTGATGAACAATCATCTGTGGTATATGTTCACTGTGCTGCACATAACCTTAATCTTGTTGTAAAAGATGTTGTTACAACCGAGATATTAACAACTAAAAGTTTCATTGGTTTATTCTGGACGCATGATCAATGTGCTGCATTGTTGTAAAAGATTGTTGTTACTGGAGTATCAAAAGTTGGTAATTTTTCTGTTCTTTGAGATGTATATAAATTTTTTGGCTTAACAGATCGGATATGCTTAGCAGTGTAACTAGAGAATCATTAGTGACATGGAAAAAACTAACTCGATATCCCAACTTGATAGGCTGGACAAGCACAAAGTTTGCTTGGTATGAAAATTTTCAATACCTTGAAGCTATTGACCACAAGACTTAGGAAGTCCATTAAAAATTTATAATTCATTTTTCTGTTTGTTATGTTTTCTAAAATACTTGGAGTAATAAACATACACCTCTAAATATCTACCAAACAAGAATACAGATTTGTTTAATGCCACACAACATCTTGAAAATGCATTGGAGACAATTACAAATTACAGACTGATTTTTGATGAAGCTAAAAAAGAAATAGCTGCAGTTGCTGCAAGTGGGGTGTTGAAGTAAAATATAAAGACAAAAGAGTTACAAAAGTAAAGTGATATTTTGATGAGTTGATCCAGAAGACACATTTTGAGTTAATATTTTTAACATTCAGAAATTTTTTTGTTCTGGAAGTTTAAATTTATGTTTTTAACATTGCCTTAATGGTTTAGTCTTGTTGAGCATCAAAGCCTTGCGGGCAAAAGTTATGGATGTTGACCAGCTCATTGACCGATTTGCAGAGATAAAGAGTTGTCGCAAAGACTTTTTTTTAGAATACTTATCTGTACTCTATTACTTCTAAATACAAGCTTGTTGTTGATTTATGATTTCATAACATTGAATGAAACAAAATTCAGTAACATTTTTAATTTCATTTATAACATTTAATCAATTTTAATGCAAATTGAAAACAATTTTTTTTATGGCATATGATTACAAATTAATAATAAATAAAATTTAAATGTCATAAATAAAAATCATAAAAATTTAAAACATTACTGCTCATTTATTCTTATTTATTACTTACTAGCAGTAAGCAACCTGTAATACGGGTTAGTAATAAATAACTATTTAACTTGATATATTATCTGAAAAATATAAAATACAAATTCAACAATATGTAGGGCTGCCATTATTCTGAAAAAGATGAAACCATTTAAGCACAAAATTAAAAATTCCTAATAAATAATATACATAAATATATAAGGAAATATAAAATATACTGAAATATATGTGTATGTACTTACATATTAACTTACATATTATTTATAGGTAAATATTATTGTTTGTAGAAGGATTAATAAGAATGAAGTTATATACATATCCACAAATATCAGTCTTATTTTATTTAATTTTTTATGTTAAACACATAAAATTTTATTCTCATTATTCTTTCTACAAACATTAATCTTTATATATAATGAAATGAATTGAACTTACTAAAAAGGACTTCAGCTATTTCTTACTGTTCTAAAAACAATACTTTCCTAAAATGTTCTAAAAAAAACTAAAGACAACACCGAAACACTTTTAGTTCTAATTTTTAAAAAAAAAAAGAAAACAGGCTATAAAAATTAGAAACAAAAACAACCAACAACAAACAAACGAATTTTAAAATTTTTTAGTTTTTTTTTAGAGTTTTAGTTTTTAAACAATGAACAACATCAATTCTTCTTTAAACTAAAAATTTATCAGCTCTAATTTGCTTGCAGACCTTGCTTATAAGACCGTGTGAAATATAGAACCCCGTATAAAAAAGTCTAGAAACTACTTTAAAATTACGTAAGTCAACTACTACTATTAACTATTAAATTACAGTATTAACATTAAGATTGTTTTTGATAATTATAATTGCTGTTTTAACATAAGAGCATGTTATTTCATTCTATCTAAAATATTGATAATATTAAACATACATAAAATTAGTAATTTTGATTCTGAATACATACACTTATAAATCTTACTATGAATCTAAATAAAAGTCTACTATGAAAAAAATAAAAAGTAAATTTCAGCAAATTTAAAATGTAAATTATACTACTTTTAAGGGGAAAAAAACTCACCAAAAACACCATTAAAAAAAAAAACAATACCATTTTAATCAAAAGCTTATATATTTATGCCCTAGAAAAAAAATTGTAAAAAGTATTTATGTTAGTCTTCATTATGTCAGTCTTCATTATGTTAGTCTTCATTATGTCAGTCTTCATTATGTTAGTCTTCATTATGTTAGTCTTCATTATGTTAGTCTTCATTATGTTAGTCTTCATTATGTTAGTCTTCATTATGTTAGTCTTCATTATGTTAGTCTTCATTATGTTAGTCTTGACCTCAAGATGCAAAAAATTAGCTGTTTTTAGTCATTTTGAGGTTTTTTTCCAAATATGAAAAAATTTAAATGAAAAAATACAACTTTATAATGGAATTTTGGAAAATTGTTTTTTTACTTTTTTTTTTTACTTTGATTTTACATTAAATCTTAATAAGTACAGTTTTCAACCATGAACCTGATTGGTAGATTAATTATATCCATGCTAGTTCCAATCCACCAAGTATTATAAAACAATCACCAACCAATTGAACATAGATTATCTTCCAATTCATCATGGGAAAAATTTTTTTAAAAGTCTGCTCCTATTTATAAGGACGCATTAAAAAAATCTGCATTTTACACTAATCTCCAATATCATTCATATCTAAATATCTTAAAATCGCTGTCAGTTCAACATAATTAATGATAAAACTTAAAATCGCTGTCAGTTTACCTGTCTAAAAAATCTATGAATTATAAAAAATAAATTGATTAAACTAAAAAGGTATACAGCTCCAATTCTTCTTAATAATAAAATGAAATTTACTTCTAATAAAATGTTCCAATAAAAACTGAAGACAAAAAAGAATCAAAAAGAAACACTTCACTAAAAAAACTACTTTACTAATCAATTTAGTACTAACTTCTGAAAAAAAAACAGATTGTAAAAATTAGAAAAATAAAAACAATCAACAACAAACAAATGTTTATTAAAATTTTTATTGTAAAATTAAACAAATAAAAACAACGGTTCTCTGTTAAGAAAAACTTATTAGCTCTAATTTGCTTGCAGAGCTTGATTGAAGAAGCACATGAATTTTAAGAAACGTGCTCAAAAAAACCTAGAAGCTACTTAAAAATGGCATAAGACAATGTTAAACAATAAACGGTAACTGGAGTATTAATAATTAGATACAAACATACATACATACATACATACATACATACATACATACATACATACATACATACATACATACATACATACATACATACATACATACATACATACATACATACATACATACATACATACATATATACATACATACATACATACATACACACATACACACATATGCCATCACTTTTGTAAATAAATCTTATATAAAAATGATTATTTCAATTATTGTATAATATATATATATATATATATATATATATATATATATATATATATATATATATATATATATATATATATATATATATATATATATATATATATATATATATATATATATATATATATATATATATATGTATATATATATATATATATATATATGTTCTGCAAAATTTTTGATAATATATTCTGCAAAATGTTAAACACTTGTTAATTTTAAATTAGTTGTACAAAGACACACCTTTTAACAATTTTTAATGACATAAATTTATGTAGCCAGATTTATCAAAGTGTGACATAGAATTTAATTGCTTTCGTCACCCATCTGGATGTACTTCAAATTGTATTGCAGTTGCAACTTTTTTCTATGATAAAAGTACCAACAAATACGTTAATGAACTTTGGTCAAGTGCTTCTAAAAAATGGGTTGCATTTGCTCAAAAAGCTGATAATTCAAATCCTGCTTTCATGGCAAGTAGAAGATTTATTTTTATTGCAGCTTTATATTATGTTAGTAAATAAAAAATTATTAATTTTTTTTCTTTATAGGTAAACTTACAAGGTCAATATTGTCTTTTAACCTCTTCAACAGTAGTTTTCGGTAGTTTAGATGCAACAACAATAACTACAAATGATGCCCCCGTTTGGATTACAATGGTTTGTTTAATTATTTAGTTTTTCTTGTAAAGTTCAGTTCTAGAGTTTAAATTTTTAATTAATAGTTATGTAACAGTTAGTTCCTATGCCCTTATACAAAATCTTATTAACAACTTGTACTTTGAGGTGTAAATCATTTTGATTTACACCTCAAAGTACAAGTTTGTACTATTGAGGTGTAATTTTGATTTACACCTCAAAGTACACTTGTACTATTGAGGTGTAAATCATTTAAATAACATTGTTTTACAGATTCCTGGAGTAGAAATGATCGCTTCAACAGTTTTTAATGATGGATCGTTTAGTTGCAGGTAAGCAATTTCTTATTATTGCTCTGAAGAATGGTGCATACATTTATGCTAAAAAAATGATTCAATATTGAAAATGATTCAAAAATTTAGATATACATCGAATGCTAATCCTTCAAATAGCAATCTTTTTTTAGCGCTTGCATTTGGATCTTCTACAAACGGTATTATATATTTTATAATCAATCTGTTTGTAATATATTAATATAATGGTTTATTAATTTATTGATGTCTCTAAATATTTAAAGGTCAGTTTCCAGAATACCATGAATATAACAGCTATTCAAAATCTGATGCAAAAGTAAATCTCTTGGCTATTCAAAAGGTTTTATCAGATTCATCTATAAGCAATTTAATAAAAGGGCATGGTAAGATGTCTATCATTAAGAAAGTTACCACTGTGAATTTAGGTCACAATAGTAAAACATTCAGTATATATATATATATATATATATATATATATATATATATATATATATATATATATATATATATATATATATATATATATAAATATATATATATATATATATATATATATATATATATATATATATATAAATATATATATATATATATAATATATAATATATATATATATATATATATATATATATTTATATATATATATATATATATATATATATATATATATATATATATATATATATATATATCATTATTATTATTATTATTATTATTATTATTATTATTATTATTATTTTATAAACATCAATAAATTAGATATTCTCTTGATACTAAATTTATTTTTTTAAAAGAAATTTTCGCTGGATTATTGTGACCAGCATCTTCAGCTTAAAGGTTTTTTGTTTGTTTTTGTTTATATGTTACTTTTTAATAAACGGCAGTTCTATTTTATAACAATCTAATGGTTTCTCCTTTTTCTGACGTAAGTGCGCTAAAAATAGTGTCCAAAATTTTGTTGACACATATTGTCCCTCATCTAAATTGATACCGTTTTTCTGTCATCTACGTATCTATAAAATGACTTTACATCAATAAGCGGGTTACTTTTCAGCGCTGTATTAAGTGCAATATTTAGGGGTTTCGTACATGTAACATTTAATATATGCAGTCAAAAACATTTAGAAAATGAACTGAAATTCCTTATTCAAGTATTTGCCAAAAATGGCTAGAAACAGTCCAATCTCATAAAAATCATAAAAGAAATAAAACGAAAGTACAAAAACTCTCTATTGACTACGAAAAACATTGACTACATCACCATTTCATCCAACGATTTCATTACCCTGGGTACCAAAATTGTCTCCCAAATTGCGTAAAGTATTTAGGAAGGCAGGATATAAAACGATCTTCAAATCAAACTTAAACCTAGGGGCAATATTAACATCAAGAAATAAATCCAAATTATAAACAAACAGTCAACCAGGAGCCTACCTTATTAAATGTCATTGTAACAAAAAGTATATAGGTGAAACAAAAATGCAAATAAGAACCCGCATTCAACAACTCAAAAACAGTACAATAAGAAATAAAACAGAACAATCTGCATTAGCCACACACATGAGAAATTGTACACAACAAATTAACTGGGACAGTTGCAAAACTCTAAAAGTTGATGCTAAAAAGTTTGATAGAAAAGTTCGTGAGGCACTTGAAATACAGTACCACCAATGTGCCTCTCAGCAAAATGGTATCAATTTAGATGAGGGACAATATGTGTCAACAAATTTTGGACACCATTTTTAGTGTACTTATGTCAGAAAAAGAAGAAACCATTCCATTGTCATAAAATAGAACTGCTGTTTATTAAAAAATAACATAAACAAAAACAAACAAAAAACCTTTAAGCTGAAGATGCTGGTCATAACAATCCAGCAAAAAATTTCTTTAAAAAAAATACTTATGTATTTTGCTAAAGTTGATTCTTATTCCACGCATACTAATTCTGGCATGTTTTTTAGATAAAGAAGAACAATAAAAAATATTTATAATAATTAATTTATAATAAATAGCAGTTGATGTATGTAATGAATTTTCCCATAGGCAAGAGATGTCACCGTGTATGTTTTTGCCACAGTTAAAGTCATTTGACACAGTTTATGATGCACCAAAAATAATATTTACTCTTAATTTTGTGAGTGTTGATTGTACTGAATTGTGTGAAGCAGGAACATATTTCGAGACAATTCATTAAATATATAATCAATTCAACAGGTAATCTGCAGCTGTGGGTTCTTTTAAATAAATTTTAAATAAATAAATTTTAAATGTTCTGGACTTCTTGAATCATGTCTGAAACCCAGTGGTCAGCTCGGATAGATGATGTTATTCCAGTTTCGTAATATCGCTTTTATTGAACTTGAAATACTTCATTTAACAACACAGGCTAAAACAAAACTTTATGCATTTCATGTGTTTTTTGATTCATATAACTCATCTTATTTTCTTCTGTTAATAGTTATCATGCTCTTTCAACACCTTTCAAAATTTCTTACTAACTCTCAACTTTAAATAGAAAATGTTCAGAGTGAATTTTTACTTAAAAGAAGAGTGGTGTTAATGACTAATATGCTCATGGATAGCATATTTCCCATTAAGCTTGGAGGACATTCCAGACTAATCAACCAACTCAAGCAATCAGCCATACCTGTCTGGTTACCCCTGGTTACCCATTTTAAATTGGTCAGAAGTTAATATTGTAGCTATTGATTGTAAAAGTTCTTTCACAATCAAAGATTCAAAAGTTTTTCTTTCTTGTAATTTTCACATGGATTTTTTGATCACAAAGTCATAAAACTCTATTCTCTATACTTTTATGTGGGTGTTTAAAAGCAGAAGCATAAGTTTTTGTTAAATAATATAAATATTATATTAAAAGAATATTAAAATTATAACATTTAATAAATATGCAAATAAAAAGTACATGCAATTGTTTCATATAATACAGCTTCAGAGAAGTCATCATTAAAACTTTACTTAGAGGTCTTTAAAACCATACTATGTTTCTGGTAATACTCTGTTAAAAATTATTATATCATATGTGTTTATAAAATTTTATACTTCATTTGTTTATATATATATTTTATGCTGTTATAACTAAGTCAAAAAAACTTCATTTTTAGGGATTTTGATGACTTTAGCATGGCTGTTTTTTGCAACATGTGGAATATTTATGAGTCGTTACATGAAACCATTTTTAAAGACAAAAATAAATGACAAAGACGTTTGGTTTAGAGTAAGTTAGTTTAGAGTAAACATAGTAAAATTTTGAAGAAAACAACAAGAAAACAAGAAAAAAAAAGAATGTAATAAGATTTTGATTAAGCGTTAAAAAATATTTAAAGTTCAAAAGAATTTTGAGCTTTATCTTGGTGAACACAACTAAACAGACCATTTAAGTTCTGCAATAACAGTATTCTGTTAAGTACATCTATTTGGAATCTTTAATCTGTCTCTGTACTCTTCGTCATTTAAGGCATATATTTGTTTTTGATAGGGTTTTAACAAAAATCAAAAAAAAATATGGAATTTAAAAACTGGTTTTTAAATTCCAAAACTCCAAAATACCACTTGTTCACAAGCAACTGAACTGGGTTTTATAATTTAAGTGCATCAAATAACATCTGATTTTTTTTTGTTCAATCTAGGTTTTTTGTTTTTTTATATGTTGCCTCAAATAATGAAAATTCATCTTTTAGGGAGTAAACTAAATTTCTTTGTTGTAATAAATCTTGTTGCTATATACTATTTCACTTTAATTTGCAGTCAAAAAATAAATTTAATGCTTTTCCTTTTTTAAATCTGATATAATTTTGAAGAATGATGTTTCTTACTAGAGATTTTCAAAAGAACTTACTAACATTTCAGGTTTGTGAAACTGATTGTGTGTAGTTGTCAGACAAAATAAAAATAGGATGTTCTTGGTTACAAATATAACAAAAATAGGATGTTCTTGATTACAAACATAATAAAAATAGGATGTTCTTGGTTACAAACATAATAAAGATCATAATTGTCATATTTGTCTTCTGATTCCTCACTTGAAACATTTACACGGCTTCAAATTAAACCATTTCTTTATGTTTATATAATACATTAGTAACTATTGTCTATTAATAGCATAGTTGATTAACTAAACATGATAATTTTAGATAAATATTACATGATAATTATCATGCGTGATAATTTTAATTAAATCATTTGTTGCTGTAACTATGTAACTATGTAACTATGCCAGTTTTTAGATTCAAGTTGAAATTTTTTAGTCTTCCAAATGCTAAATATAATGTTCTTTGAGCATCGCAGAAACCCGCTGTTAGAACTTCAAAACTAAAATATTTTGCTAAGTGCTACACATTAATATTTAATTTTTTTTGCATTCATTCATCTAAAGTTACAGCAAATTTTTCTCATTTATTTTTATTGAATCTATTTCTGAAATATAGTATGTTCTGTAATATTAGATTCAGGTTTTTCATAAAATAGCTTGAATAAGATCCATTATTAAAGAGTTGTTTCTTGGTCATGAATATCCTCATTGTTGAAGAGACTCTCATTGGTATAAGCTATTTGTTATGCTAATAATAGAACGCCATTCCATCACTGATTGCTGCAAGTTTTGATATGATTTCTTTTAAACTAATTCTTTTCAGTTTCATAAAATTTAACATTTTTATTTGTTTTTTTCTTTTAAAGAAGAGGATTAGAGTACAAGTATTTCTTCTCAACAGTTTCTTTTCAATAATTATTTAATGAGCTGCTCTGATTAGTGGATTGCTCGTTGATGAACCTTTGCAGCCCAACATTACAATGTTTGAAAATTGCTTTGTTTGTCCCTGACTTTTTAAAACTATTCCAAACTTCCAACTTGTTCATTTTTATTTATCTGTAAATGAAATTTATGTTGTTGCATAAACATTTTTGAAGTTTATTTGACAATTTTATTGATTATAGCCTTTAAATACAAACTGGTTTTTGTGATTTAAAAAATAGTTTTCTAAAAAAAACTAGTATTGGAATGTATTAAATTTATTATAAAAATTACTATTTTTTAAAAATCTTTTTGAAAAGCCCTCAAACCCTAGTTTTTGAAAAACTTAACTTTTTTTTAAAATAGTTTTAAAAGCACTAAAGTGTTATTCAAATTTGAATGTTCAACTAAAACTCAATATAAAACTCAATTAAAAAATGCCTTAAGTGTATATTTTAAATTTAAATGTTTATATTTTTAAATGTATCATTAAAACTAAAGTTCAATATGCTTAAAACAAAATGGCTTATTTATGCATTACAATGCACTATGGGATATTATCTGTTAAGTCTGTTTGTTTGTACCTATATTTAATCAGTTAAAAATCATTTTCTAAATAAAAAAAATAAGAATTCAATGTTAAAATTACAACAAAAAGATTTTTTTTTTTCAATTTTGTTTTAATTGTTGACTTACATATTATTTAACTTTTTAGATGCATCAATTGTTTATGTCATCAACTTTGATTTGTTTTGTTGTTGGCTTAATATTAATTTTGGTTGATTTAAAAGGAAGATGGTCAAAGGTTAAAAATACTTTTCACAAAATATTTTATATTGAACTAATTTAAAAAAAAAAAAAAAATGTTGTTTGATTTTTAGAATGCTGGTACTCATCACATCCTAGGATTGACAGCTATTGTTTTAGGTTTGGTACAGGTAAGTTCTATGCAGTTTTATATTAAGACAGTGTCAACTTAAAATCTAAAAAAATAAGTGCGATATATATATATATATATATATATATATATATATATATATATATATATATATATATATATATATATATATATATATACATATATATATATATATATATATATATATATATATATATATATATATATATATATATATATATATATATATATGTGTGTGTGTGTGTGTGTGTGTGTGTGTGTGTGTGTGTGTGTGTGTGTGTGTGTGTGTGTGTGTGTGTGTGTGTGTGTGTGTGTGTGTGTGTCTATGTATGTGTATGTATATATATATATATATATATATATATATATATATATATATATACACATACATAGACACATATTTAGTTATTTTATTAAACCATTATCAATTTATAGCATGAGTAAATAAATTTGGCAATTTGTGGTAAGTTAAATATTATAATAATAATTAAATAAATTTTTGTTATTATTTCATTAATTAAAAAAAAAATTTCTTTATATAGCCATGTATAGCTTTGCTTCGTTGTGCGCCCGATCATAAAGAGTAATATTTGTTTTTCATTTTTCTTTATTTTGTATGTTTTTTGAAATTTAAAGATTTTGCAATTTATAAAAATCTATTTAGTCGTTATATTTTTAATTGGGTGCATCGATTAATTGGAATGTTGGCTTGGTTTATTGCAGGTATTATTCACAAGAATATTTTATAAAGTATATAAAAAAAAGTAAAATAAAAGTTATTTACTGAATTTATACAATACAAACATTTCAATTTTGAATAGTATACACTGACTTCTGCAAAACATCATTCACTGGATTTATGCAAGTGAAATGTATTAGTGTAAACTACTTATAAAGTTTTAGTCACAACTAACTAGGTATATAAAAAAAATATCCAATTTTTATTTAGCGATTGCAGTTATATATGGTTTGAAATTACTGAACATCAATCATGTTGCTGTAGTAGTTTTTATACCCGTTGTGATTGTTTTGTTTGTTGTACTCGATCTCATTCTACTGAAATTTAGACCAAATTTAGATAAGGCCAAACCTCAAGGTAAATTTTTATATTTGTTAATTTTTGTTTAAGAAGAAGAGTTTTTTTGAAGTGTTGTTTTTTTATTTATAAATTAATACTTTTAGTTGCATACTCGTCAATCCAGTTTAATATGGAAACTACTTCAAAAGAAAATAAAACAGTAAGTTTTATTTTCAACTAGAAATTTTTAGAAATATAATTATCTGATTTTCAGGTCTCTTATTTGTTATATTAACGTTAGTAACAACACCTGCCTTTTATATTTTTCTTTTAGTATAATAAAAATATATAATAAAATCTAATGTTCGTTTGTATTTATGTATATAAGTATTCATTAGGGTGTTTCAAAAATTTGAAAATAAAATTAGAAAATTGAAAAAAACTGTACACATTAAATTTTTTGTCTATACACTTATAAAAGACCGCTAGCATTGAAAAAAGATTTATAAGATCATTCCAAGTGCTTAATGTAGAAATTAAAAAAACGGTTTTTATTAAATGTTCTGAGCTTTCCTTAACTTAAATATTTCCACTGCATCTAAATGAAAACTTATTTTTTTAACAATTTTAATAGCTGTTGTTTTTCATAGTTTAAAAGACATCTGTAATCTTTTTTTTTAAAAACTGTTAGCTTTGTATAGGATATGAGTGGTAACTGAGCAGCTAGTAGTATATTAACAAACTTTTCTTGATCACTGTTCCTAATATTAGGAAATATTATATTGATGATTAAAACAATATATATTGATGTGTATTTAAAACATTAATAATTTTGAAAGCAGCAATCTTGATTACCTTTTTAGAAAAGGTAAACAAACTAATCATTTTTTTCTGATAAAAAAAAAAACTAATTGAATTGTTACTCTTGATAAAATAATCTTTTGGGTAGTTTAGTTTTTAAAAACACAAATGTGGAAAAAAAAGATCACTAAAATAAAAAAGCCAAACTATAATGTTAATTCAAACCCACAACAACCGCTTTATCTTCTCAGAAGTCTGATTTCTGTTTTTCCTCAACATCAACTTCAGACAGATGGAATAGTTCTACGATATTATCAGTATGATATTACAGAAAAAAGTAAAAAGTTCAAGTCTACTCAAGAAAATTTTTCATCCAAAACAAAGAGTGGGAGTAGGGATATGGTTTGCCTTGACAAAGATTTCTGTTATGAAAATATGGAGATATGCTGCCTAAGAAAAATTATTAATATATGGAAATATGCTGGCTTTGGAAACTATATATTTCTGAAGTACAAATTATTCAAAAGTCTATTAAATAAATAAATTGTACATTTCAATGCGAAATACAAGTTATTTAGCCTGGAACACAGTTACCAAAAAAAAACACGAGAATCAGTTTGAATTATTTTTTGAAAATTTGTTTGATATTTCTCAAAAAAACATAAAAGCAAAAATAAAATCAGATAAAATATGCTAAGATCGAATGCTGCAGTGATAGATTTGGCTTTTCTTCAAGATCAGAAAACATTGAGGAGAGGTATGATGAGTGAAAAGTAGGACATTGATATGAAACAAAGAATTGAAAGGAGAGTTAAAAGGTATGAAAGAATGAAATCTTATGAAGAAAAATCCAGAGATAATTAAAGTTTTCAATTAGATTTCAAAATTGATTTAGAAATAAATTTTTATTAATGGTTTAAATTAAATTTTTATTCACTTTATCAAGTCATTAACGCTTTTTGTTACTTAGATTCTGCGGCTCACCAGTCTTCAGTTGCTAGTGATAGTGATTTTGATTTTCCAGAAAGCAATGAAAATTAGCTTCCAACACACACAAGGTAAAGTGTCAAAAAACAATTAAGTCCGGCTTTTCAGAAATAGCAATAGAGTTTGACAGAGACAAGCTTCTATTAGCTACAACACCTGTAAGTGTTAGATGCGGAATTAGCATTCTCTTACAAACTATGTTTCTAGGAGCTTTTATTAAAGCTCCTAGAAACATTGTTTAAAGCTCCTAGGGGGAAATGTAAAAAAAAAATATTCATGATTTAAGTATATCTAGAAGTTCAATAGCTAGAAGTAGATTTAAGTATTTTGAAGATTTAGGTAAATTTTTTTTTACATTCAAAATATTTATAATAAAATGAAAAATAATGATTATAAAGAGAAAAAAAATCTTTTTAATTTAGGAGTCACCATCAGATCAAGCCTTTATGAAGGAAAGAATTTGATCTTGCACTTTGACAGTAAGTTGGTAAAAGAAATAGAGGAAAAATTAAAAATTACAGTTAAAAAGGAAAGGGTTGTGAAATCTGTTACCAGTCCTGAATTTAATACAAAAGATGATCACCTACCTGGAATTATAGCTGTAGAGAGCACTAAAAGGAAAGATCAAGCTATTGTTATTCAAAGCATTTTAGAGTATTTTGAAATAGATGATAGTATAATTGGAGTCTGTACTGATACTACATCAAGTAATACAGGTAGAGGTTTGTACTGTTGCTACATCAAGTAAGGTAGACTAAATGGAGCTATAATAATAATTAGTAGAATTCTTAATAAGTGTTTGTTTTGGTTTATGTGTTGTCACCACAGATATGAACTCCATATAACTCATGCAATACATGCAATCACAAAAGTTAAATCTAAGGGTCCAAGTAAATCTATGTACTTAGCTTTCCAAAGACGCTTTCCAAAGATTCCCATGAATCTGTAAATTCAAGAAATCCAGAACTGAAAAAATTTGATTGGAACAAGCTGGAAATAGGTAGCAGGCTTTACATCTTAGCACTAGCAGCTTATGCAAGATTATGCATAGTATTTGTTGGAAAATAAATTTTTTCAAAAAATGACTATAGTCACCTTGTAAAATATTTGGCTTTTTATTTTGGCATTGAATCTGATAAGCTTAATAAATTTAAAATTCATCAACCTGGAACATGTCATGAAGCAAGATTTATGGCTGATGCTTTGTATATTCTTACTCTAGAAATGACGAATTATAAGCTTTTACCTGATAAAAACTAAAAGGAAATTGAAACGTGTGTTAACATTGTTGCTGTTTGTTATGCTCCATGGTACCTCAAGTCTTGAAGCACTCAACATGCTGTACTTAATGATTTTAATACATTTAAAGCACCATATAATCTCATAGATGAATTTAATGCCGATGTTGGCAATGCTTTAATTAAAAGTTTTCATAAACATTCGTGGTGTTTTTCTTAATAGCAATAGTTTTGTTTTCACTAGTTGATTCTTACTTGGAAATGTTTGTCAAGTATCAGATTTTGAAGTCATTAATTTCCTTTCCAGTTCCAGAGCTAGAAAAAATAAATATGGAAAAACCTAATCCTGTTTTAATCTTACCAAACAGCATGTTTTCAGAGCTTATTACTGCTGATAGCTAGCTTATAATTATACGCCTAGAAATCATAACTCAAGTCAAAGATTGGGTTCATTCTCATTTCAACTTCTTGAAAACTGAATCATACTGTGTTTTTGAAAATTTTGTTAAAGCACTTAGTGTAACTAATGACTGCGCTGAAAGAAACATTGGATTAATAAATGATTTTTTTAAATATTTTCAAAAAGAAGAGCAAAATATACTATTGATAGCGAGAGAGGAGAGAAAAAAAGTTACAAAGAAAGTAACTCAAAACGAACTTATGAAAATTTAAAAAGTTTTCTACATGATTATATAAAATGAGATGTGTTTGTGAGTAAAAGAATTATACTGTCAGCTAATGATAATAATGAGATATATTTATGAATAAAAAAAATATGTCAGTTTTTTAATTTTGATCTTTTCTAGCTAAAAAAAGGAAGATCTAGGAATTTTACAGTAAGCGCTTAAAATGACCTTAGTGCAATTTTTTTATTATGTATCTTCTACTTTTATATAGACTAGGAATTTTGGGTGTACAAGAGAAGTTTAAAAAAAAAAGGTTTCTTTACATATTTTTGGGATACCCTAGTATGCATAGGTGCCCGCAGGATTTTTGATGTTTCAAATATGATACTTTCATGCATCGTGCAAACTCTAAACTTAAGTATGTTCATACCTATGCCATATGAGTAGGCTTTGCAAAAAATTGGGATGGAGGAGGCTTGGGAACAAAAAATCATTAATACGTTTGCCCTCGCCCCTGCCCAAATGTGAGGGAATTGAAGTAGTAAATATTTCAACTTTTCAATCTTAAACTAAATTTAAATTTTTTAACAGATTTTAAATTTCGTTGTTAAATATTGTAAATTACAAAAGTTATTACCATGCAAATTTTTTGACCCCCTCCTTTTCCAAATGGAGGGGATTGTAAATTTTGCATGTTCATAACTTTTGTAATTTACAATAATTTTCTACGAAATTTAAAATCTGTCGATAAATTTAATTTGAATTTAAGATAAAAAGTTAAAATTTTTACAATATCAGTGCACTCACGTTTGGAGGGCAAATATTTTAGAGCTTTTTTGTTACCAGGCCTCTGCCATCCTGATTTTTTGCAGGGTTTTGTCATATGGCATAGGTATGAACATACTTAAGACTTTGCACTATGCGTGAAAGTGTCTTATTTGAAACATCAAAAAATCATGCGGGCGCCCATGAATGTATGTATGCATGTGTGAATGCATGTATGTATGTATGTACCGATTCATGTATGAGGTATGTATGTATCTATGTATGTATGCATGTACGTATGCAAATATATATATACATATATATATACATATATACATATGTTATGAAACAAAGTTTTGCTCCTAAACAAAAAACGGAATATTATTAGTTAAATCTTTAATTGAACTTAACACAAATACAACAAATAATGCAGGTGTGTCAGATTTAATAATAGAAAATGATTGTACATATATATATATATATATATATATATATATATATATATATATATACATATATATATATATATATATATATATATATATATATATATATATATATATATATATATATATATATATATATATATATATATATATAAATTGCATGCATTCATACAAACATACATACAGGTAGGGTTGAAAATTTCCGGAAAATTTCCGGAAATTTTCCGGGAAAATTTGCTTAAAATTTCCGGAAATTTTGAATTTTTTTTTTTTTAAATTTTTAATTTACTACTATGTATTAAAGAAATTGCAAAGAATTAAGCATCAAATCTTTTAAAAATGAGATAACTGTCATTTTTTTTTTTTGCTTAAATACATAAAAACTAAAAACCACAAGACGTTTCGGAGAAAATTTAAATTTTAAGTTTATTTAAAATTTCTAAGTCGTTTAAAATCTAATAGAAAAAGAAATTTATTAAAAACATGCTACCTCTATAGGAACAACATCTTTTTTTATATATATACATCTTTCTTTAAGTATTTAATAGGGTTGGAACTTTTTTACAAAAGCTTATTAATACCTGTAATATATACACAAAAACTGCATAAAATTGAATGCTGACAAAACCGAGTTCATACTTACCGGAAAAAAGCAAATTAAAAACCGCACAATATCGAACAAATAAAACTTCACGATAAATTAAGTCATCTAGGCTTTATATGGGACACCTTTCCTAAAATCCGGGCAGTAATCCAAACTTTAATTTAATCTGGAATCCGTTTTGTTCACCCAAATTCCTTTGTCCAGTTATATAAAACTTTGGTTGTTCCACTACCTTATGGTCTAAGCTTTGTGAACATAAAAAAATATTAATGCAAAAGCTTGATATAGTTGGAAGAAACGCACTGAAGTCACTCCTTAACGTTTTAAAAGATTGCATAAATTTTATTCATCCCTTATTTTTTATTGAGTATGTATCAATAATTACACAACAAAACAAGCTAAACTTATTTATTCACCTGAAGAGCAATAAAATGACATTTAATATTGTAAAGTAGCAGCTGAAAAACAAAACAGCTTCAGAACCTTTTTTAGGTAGTGTCAAAGGTTTGTGCAATAGTCATGAACTAAATCTAGAGAAAATAATGCAAAGTAAAAAAAAAAATCATTGACTTGATTTTTTTTTTTACTTTGCATTATTTTCGGATCTTCAAACTCTAAAATGAGCAGTTGAGTTCTGGAACTCAAAGGAACAAAAAAACAATCTTTAAGGACATTCTTGAAAAAAAAAATTCCTAGATGATCATGTTTGAATGAAAATCTTGATAAAAAAAAAAACTTTAAGATTTTTCATTTATCCTGAACTAAACTTTAATTTAGCTTACTTGTATAGTGGGTTTTTAACTAATAAATAAAAATAAAAAAATAATTTTATATATATATTTTATTTAAATCCCCAACTAGACTTTTATAAAAAAATAGCATGTTTTTGCAAACGTTAATGCTTAGCCATTTTCATGGTATGTGAAAGTCAATACTATCTTCACTTGAATACTCACTATCGTATTCGTTATCATCATAATCATCATCATCATCATTATCGATTGATTAGCAGCTGTGATTTTTTTGGCTTTTTTCATCAATGTTTTTTGTTTTTAAACATGAATGTTTTATCTTTTTAGAATTACGTTTAGCCAATTTATTCTGCATTTTCAAATTATAAGCAATAAATAAAAGCTTTGATGCTCTTGTATCGGTTAGGCGATTTCTTACTTTAGATTTTTGCAATGAAAACTCTTTGTTTGCACGCTCAACAGATGCAATGCTGCAGTTACAAGACAATAATATTAATGCAATTCTATTCAATAATGTTGTTGGTGCATATGCTTTCCACCATGTGACTGGATTACAATCTTCATTAAGCTTCCAAATATAGCTTCGATTATCCTGGCTAAATATTCCACTACGAGCTTTGAAACTCATTAATTCATCCAATATTATATCAGTGGCTAGTGTTTCATTTTCAGCTGTTCTGAATACATGCTGCTCAGCTAAAAGCATTTCTGAATGATTTAACTTTTGACCAACAAATCTTGGATCAAGTAAATTTGCTGCAAAGTGTATCGGTCTTACAACAAAGTCTTCACCCTTTTTAATGCAAGTAATGATATCCTCTTTTTGATGTAAAGTCAAAAGTGTTGAGTTGTGCAACACATCAGATATCTCAGTTATTACATAAAAAAAGACTTGTGGAACAATAGATACTGACGCTGCATCACTCTCTGATTCCAAAATGGCTTCTGATATAGGTTTCAGAAGTTTGAAAATTAAATCCGTCTTTTTCCAAAAGGTTTCATTCAATACTAATTCCTTTAAGTCAATTTCTTTTTTATTATTATGTTTGTCAAGATACTTTTGTGCTTTTTCATCAGTTACTGCCAGTCGCAATGAATCACGGAGTAGAATATTGCGTTGTAACATATAAAATTGTGATGACCATCTTGTTACTACAGGAAGAACTAAAACAAAACTTTTATTCAAGGAGTGTAGGCTGCAACGCTCAACAATACTTTTTAGACTGTGCTTACTTTTAAAAAACTTAACTAGTTGTTTATTTTGCTTCAGTGTTTCCGAAATTATTTTGTTCTTATTTGCAAGATCACAAGCTAATAAATTTAGCCCATGAGAAAAACAGCCATATGCTGACATCCAATCATATTTATTTTCTATTAATTTCCAAACTGCTACCATGTTAGCTGCATTGTCAGTGCAAAAAGCTTTTATTTTTCTTTTGTTTGATATAACATTTTTATCTTCAATAATCTCAACAATTTGATTGAAAATGTATTGTCCAATGTGGGAGTTTTCTTTTGGATGAATACTTCTGATGTATATTGGAGTTGGAGTAGCTAACATAATCTGTATATGTAAATCATTACTTATACAAGACCAACCATCTGTCATCAGAACAAAAGTTTCTGACTGGGATATTAAATCTTGTATGAATTTATTTACTTGGTTATATACTGTGTCTAAAAGATTATGACTCAGGGCATAACGATTGGGAGGTGACCAACCTGGTCGAATCTTTTTAAAAAAATTAGTCCAGAATAGATTTTCCGACATTCTGAAAGGGCTGGCTGTTGCATAAATTGCTCTTGCATATTGTATATTTATTTCATCACACTCTTGTGTTGAAACTTTATCAAAAAAAATGATATTGATTTTTGATTGCTAGTATATATAGAAGTTGAACAGAAAGCCTTTTTTTCTTCTAAAATATTTGATAAAGAACATTCTTGTAAATCAGAATGTAATTCGTTATTAGCCACATTCATTGTGGAACTGGTTCCTGACTTTCTCTTAAAGATGGCATAATTGTTGTCACAGCAATCAATAAAACAATCATTTTCTATTATTAAATCTGACACACCTGCATTATTTGTTGTATTTGTGTTAAGTTCAATTAAAGATTTAACTAATAATATTCCGTTTTTTGTTTAGGAGCAAAACTTTGTTTCATAACATCTGTTGCAAACTTTTTTTTACAGCTTTTGGAGATTTAGTACAATTTGTAACTAAATGTTTTTTAGCTCGTGTAGAGTTTTGTGTGCAAAATTTTGCATTGCAATATGTGCAAATAAATGCTGTTTTCCCATATTGATATTTTTTTTTTTTTTAAAGTGACCATTCCAGACTTGATCTAATTCTCTAGGCATAATTGTTGCTAAAAAAATTTTTACAGTACAAAAATAAATGAGAATAATTTAAAATGTATACTTAGTTTAGAAAAGCAGTTCATACCGACTGCAAATCTAATAAATAATTTATATTCAACACTAATTTATTATTATCATTATAGCTATAAAACTAATATACCTATTATTAGTAAAGTATTTTTGTAATGTTTTTATTGTTATTATTTCAAAAAGAGTAAAAAACTTATTCAATTATATAACATATATAATGGCAAATTATTTGTTGTTTCTCTTGTATCACCTATTCTTTGGTTTAGGTTGACAGCTTTATATAAATCATTAAAAAATGTCAAAAAGGAATGTTTGTGTAGCAATCATTTCAGATACTATAAAGTTATGCATCTATAATATTATAAAGTTTTAATACTACTTAAAATACTATAAAGTTATACACCAAAAAATTAATAATATTGCACTTTTACCAATTCATAATATTGTATAAAATAAATAAGTAAATAAGTTATTTACTTATCTATTTTATTTAAAAAAGCTGTTAGTATTTTAATTTATAATCACATTTTTATAATCATCATCATCATCATCATCATCATCATCATCATCATCATCATCATCATCAACATCACCATTGTTATAATAATTGTTGTTGTTGTAATTATTATTTTTACCATTATTACCATTAGATTTACTTTAGAACTACTTACTAATATTATTAGTGAATACCTAGGTATTTATTTCTGAAATTTATTAGTTTATTTATATAAACCTTCTTTATTAAAACAGTAAAATTATGGTAAACATATAAAAATAATCAGAGAAGCCCTGAAATTTTTTTTTTTTAAAAGTATTTGAAAATTTCCGGGAAATTTCCGGAAATTTTCCCGACTTCAAAATTTCCGGCAAATTTTCAACCCTACATACAGGTAACGTGCTATTTAAAAAAACAAGACTCAAAGCATATTCGAGCCTCAAATTTTGATTTGCAAATTGTCTCGAAGCGATTCGCATGCTCAAAATTATTCGTACATCCATCTTTCTTATATTTCTTAGTATCACGTTATGATGTTTAAATAAAATAATAGAAACATATTTGTTATAGGATGAATACATATCTACGTTTTTTATGGTGGTTTTGTACATTTTTGTAGCTGCCGTTGCCATTGCTATTTCGATATCCATTGGAAAATTTTAAGCACTTTTTTTTTAATATTTTGTTCTAATAATTAATTCTTAAGTAATAAAACATATCCCTCTCTTCTCTTACCGCCCCACTTTTGTAAAGGTTTTATTTGAAAAATTAAATCTGGTTTTGTGGCACGGTGTGGCGTTTACTTTTTTTTTACTTTTTATTTTTTTATTTTTGATATTTTGCGGAATATATTTAATAAGCGGTATTTACACTCGTATAATATTCGTATATTTATTCACGAAATTTTTTATTTTAACAAAGCTCTTGAAGCAAATGTTTTACTTTTTTACGATTTGTATGCATTTTATTGGTAAATTAATATTTAAATGTGAAACTTTTAATTACATAATAAATGACTTGGATCTGTACCATTCCACTGGGATTTGTACCATTCCACTGGGATTTGTACCATTCCACTGGGATTTGTACCATTCCACTAGGATTTTTACCATTTACTCGGATTTGTACCATTCAAGCAACAATTTTTTGTTAGTTAAAATAGGCATCTTTAGCGCTTTTATTTGATTATCATATTTCTATCGGGCATTTGGTAAACTATCAGGCTTGGGAAAAAAATCGTGGCTTTTTATTAGCAAAACTCAACTTTATTCCTTATAGTGTGTAAATGATTTTATTTAAACCGATTATGTTTATAAAATTTAAACAAAATATCACTTCTGCACAATTCGGAAATTATGAAAACACTCATATAAAGCTGTATAATGGTAGAATCGCAAAGTTAGAAAACAAATTAACTAGAATTAATAACGAAAACTAAATGTTAAATAAGAAATTAGATCTTAAAGTTGTTGAGTGATAATTAAAACAAATTAGTTGATGAATATGCGGGTCTTAAAAAAATCAAAGTTAGTTAAAAGATCGAATATCAATACTAACTTAGAATACGACCATATCAACATGTAATTTGTTTATTTTTTATTCAGTAATTTGTTTATTTTTTATAATTGATTTTCTTAATTTCTAAACGTAGAAATTAAAAGATTTTTTTTTAATTTCACAGCAATATTATGGTAATTTTTTGGTTGTTGCTTCAATTTTTTTTTTATATAAAAATATGCTTTTAATCTTATGCACAAGGAGGAATAAAACACATTTTGTTACATCAGGATATCGTCATATATGACTATATCCTGGTATAATAAAAAGTCTCTTTGTCTTATTTATAATCATATTGTATAATCACAAAAAACACACACCCTTTTTTATAACAGGGCATAGTTATAAGAGCAGAAGTATAAAAAAATGTTGAAGCAATAACCAAAATCACCGTAAATAGAGGAAATGTTGTAGTATCTAATGTATACTACTACATGTTAATCAATATTGGAAAAAATCATATAATGATTTTTTATAATATATATTTATTGTTCAAAATAATGCCAACCAATATTGCATATCACTGTATAAAATATGATACACTATAATAAGAATGTCCATACTTCGTATACTAAACTTACTTACTGTATAATAAGATAAGTACTGTGTTTTATTTCTGATTTAATAAAGTTTTATTGTGTCGATTAAGCAGAAACTTCAGTGACGCCTACGTTACACATCATGGAAGATCAGGTTTTTTTATTTTAGCAGAAATAGGGTACTCGGGTTTAGTTTGTACAGTGAAAAATATATAAAGGTGGTGAATTATCAAATATAACTAATTATCGACCAATATCTGTACTCTCTGGCTTTTTAAAGGTTTTTGAAAGGATTCTTTACAACAAAATATATGGACATCTTTCTAAAAATAAAATATTAAATGCCAGTCAATATGGATTCAAAAAAATAATAATTCCACGGAATACGCCATGTAACTATAATATTACAGATTCTTTTGAGAAATCACAATTTACTCTTGGAGTTTTCATTGCTCTATCAAAACCCTTTGATACGATAGATCATAAGATTCTTATACAAAAACTAAAAACTATGGAATCAGCGGAAATTTATTAAATTTGCTAAAAAGCTATCTAAGCAATCGTAAACAGTTTGTGAAAATTGACGTATCCTCCTCAACAAGTTTACTAGATATAACATGTGGCGTTCCCCAAGGGTCTATACTAGGGCCATTACTTTTTCTCATTTATGTTAATGATCAGCACAATGCCTCAAATTTGAAGACAGTAATGTTTGCTGATGATACAAATTTTTTTCTATCCGGTTAAAATATCATTACACTATTTAATGAAATCAACATAGAACTAATTAAAATTTCAAATTGGTTTAAGTCAAAAAAACTATCAATTAACTTGGAAAAAACTAAATGTACTTTATTTCATTCAAAATCCCAAAAACAACTTTTGCCAAATGATATGCCTCAAATATATATTCATTGATGAAAATCTAACATGGAAAAATCATATCGAAATTTTGCGCAATAAAGTTTCAAAAAATATTGTAGTAATGTATAAAGCGAGAAATTTTGTAAATAGACATTCATTAATTCAACTTTATCACTTGCTAATTCAATGCCATATAAACTATGCAAATTTTGCATGGGGTAGTGCTAAAAAAAATTCAATTAGATCCTCTATATTGACAACAGAAGCATTAAGCACGTTAAATAAACTTTAAAGATCGTTATACTCATGCCAGACCTCTTTTATTGGAAATAAATGTTCTTAATATATACCAGCAAAATGTGCTTTTATTTATGTTTAAATAAAAGCACATTTTTTAACCCCTATATCCTTTCAAAATTTATATGCAATAAAACAAAAAAAGAAATATGACTTAAGAAATGACAATCTTATTCATCATCATTATTCTCATACAAGTTTTGAAAGATCTCTTTTAACATATCGCGGAGCTCTTCTGTAGAACAAAATAGTTTTGAAAAATTTTGATTTTTCTCAAAGTTGGAGTTTTCTTACTTTTAAAAAAGTTATCTTGTCAATTGATAATATCTTTGAGTTCTTTTGAGTTTCTACCTTTAAAAAAAGTGTGTGATTCCTGAATATATTGTTTTATTTTGAAATAATTAGTTTTATATATATTCTTTATGTTGTTAAACATTATTTAATGTTTTGAAATATCTGGTTAGATTTAAATTTTATTTCTAAACGTAATTATTTAACTGGTTATGTTTTTACTGCATTGTTAAACGGTTCTCAGTGACAGGATCTTACGATCCTCTTTGAGTCTCCGTGTTCTGATATTTAATATACAACGGTATTTATACCATCGTATATTGTAATAAAAACAAAAAAAAAAACAAAAAAAAAACAAAAAAAAAAACAAGAAGGTGAATCACTTTATCACAAATTAAACAAATTAAATATGGTTTATCAATCTATTCCTCGTAAGACAAAATAATTAAAATGCATCCTTCAATCTCAATACCAAAAAGTAGTTGTCAAAACAGATTTTTGGGACCAGCAATAAAAAAGAAAAAATAATAAAATTTGTTTAGCTTAAAACTATATATATATTTGTATACATATATATATATATATATATATATATATATATATATATATATATATATATATATATATATATATATATATATATATATATATATATATATATATATATATATATATATATATATATATATATATATATATATATATATATATATATATATATATATATATATATATATATACAGATTAGCTTTATAACAAATATAATCAGCAGGACTCCCAGAAAATCATACGATCTTATCATGAAGCCCTTTACAATATCAAATATTATAATAACAATAATAATAATAATAATAAAATCAAATTACTCAATAAAAATAAATCAACATAATCTATATATAACTGTGCATTTAAAATATAAACATACTGGATAAAATATATAAAACAAAAGAACTAAAAACAAGAAGAAATAACTTGAAAAGATGCAAAGATAACTTCTTTTAATTTTCGTTTGAAAGAAGTTAATATCCATTTTTAAGACAAATCAAAATTAGGCAAAACAATTTTATCCTATAAATAAGGACCGTGATAAGTTAAAACTATTTTATTCCATAATAAGGATCGCGATAAATACATCAAGAGATAAATGAATTTTACATTTAAAGATGAAACGTAAAATTTTATAAACATATAGTTCATAGACATTTAAGGCTTTCATTTCTCTCAGAAGTGGTTTTGAATTTGAAAAACGATTTACAAATTAATTAAGCTAGCTCCGTGCTTCTGATGCTGATAAAGAGATTTAAGTTTAGTTTTGTGCGCGCTTCCCGATACAATATTTGCATAATTTAAATGGCAGTAGATAAACGAATAACATAGTTGTTTTAATTGTTGCTTATTTGACATATGTCGAACTTTATATATAATTCCTATACTTTTAGAAATTCCAAGAAGTTTTGTAACTTTTTCTCTTTTTAGTACTATATTATCAATAAAGAGGTTTAGCATCGTATTTGGCAAACATTTTTTCTGGATATTGGGAAAAAAAGTGTCCATTTTGTTTTATCAATATTGAGAGACAATTTGTTTTTCTTAAACTAATATGAGATTTTATTTAATTCTTGTGTCGTATTATTAAAAAATGTATTTATGTTTTAATGTGATTGGAATAGGTTTGTATCATCAGAAAAAATTATAGTGGTTAAGTTAGAAGCTTTGTTAAGGTCTTTTATATATAAAAATGATAGCACTGCTTACGATTACTAAGATGGTAATAAATACCTAAGCTGGTTTTTGAACCAGCTTAGATTTATCTGTAAAACCATAGAGTTCTAATTTTTTTGATAGAATGCGGTGATCGACAGGATCAATAGCTTTAGACAAATCGATGAATACTCTTAGGGTATAATGAGAACTTTTAAAAGAATCAGAAATGCTAGGTGTTAGTTGGAGTATAACGTGTTCAGTAGAATTGTTTTTCTGGAAGCCGAATTGATTATTATATAAAAGTTTAGTTTATCAACAAAATAATTGTAGACTCTGTTATACATTATTCTTCCTAATATTTTTGAGAAAACTGGAAATACTGAAATAGGACGATAATTTGTAATGTTTAAATGGTCACCTAATTTAAAAATAGAAGTTATTTTTGTTATTTTGAGAGTCTGGAAAGGATCCTTGAGCAATAGATGCTTTACAAATTTTAAAGAGTATACCTTTCAAAACGTTAAAGGAGTCTGTTACAACATTTCCATTGATACAACCAGCCCCAATAGCCTTATTTCGTTTTAATGATATAAAAGCTGCTTCAAATTCACTGTATGTTAGCTGTATGAAAAAATTTAAAGTTGAAGTAGGTGATGTTATAATCTTATCAATTGATTTGTCATTAAGATAAGGAATCGTCTTGATGTACATAAAAAAATATTGTAAAATGTTAG